AAAAAAAGTCCTCTGCATCACAGATATGGCCCATAACATTCAAATAGGACCCAAGAAATAAAAAAAGTTGCTAAAGGAAGATCAGAGGCAGACTATGCAATAGCAAAAAAATCTTGCTCAGGTGAAAAGAAAACTAAAAATGGGGAGAAAAATACCAAAGAATAAAGAATTTCTCYAAAACATGTCACATAAAGAAGGCAAGCATTATCTCATTTCTGAGCAAGTAATAGTAGGGAAAGGAGTTACACTTCAYTTTCCTCTATTGTTACACTCTGCTGTGCGGAGGCTGCATATTTCCTGAGCTATCTATAAAAAAATGCCCATTGATCTCTGACACAAGCACAGGATATATCTATACTATCTAAGTTTCATATGTTGTATTATGCACTAATGCTGCTGCAGACATTAAACCTCTCAGCTCATATACGTTTGTGCAGGCGCAGTGAAACCAGCGAGCCCGCGAGCTCAAACCTGCAGACCTGGGCACTTAAGCTAGCGAGGCAAGGAGGGCAGCGCTAGTGACTAAGGGACTAAGATCAGGTCTAAAAACCCTTTTGGGGGAAAAAGAACTGAAAAAGCACACTAGAGAGACCAAGAAGAACATGGCAGGTAACTGTGTTACCTCTTCACACCGCRGATGAGATCAAGTCCCATTTAGCAGTCCCTAAGTTATGTGATCAAAAGTACCACAWACCAACCAAGACACTGAGCACCCAACACCACCGGAGGAATAAGTCTGTCTACTTCCATAGCAAAGCACAGGATAATTGCCTCTTAAATACTCAGAAACTGTAGTGTGTTCTCCCTTTGCTATGACTTTTAGCAGGTTTTTTCCAATATTTTCCTTTTTTTTTTTTTTTTAAAGGCACTTAAAGCAGACCTGTCTCAAAAAGTTTAACTACTTAATTTCCTAATATTATATTCCTTGCCTGACTGGGGTTTTAGCTGGAAGAACACAGTATTTTAGTAGTATCATATTACATTCCAAAGAGTCAAGCAAGCGACGGCACGGGGAAGGTCGCATGTCAGACCCAACACTACAGATCCCGCCTCAGCCAAAGGGAGTTAAAGCGTTAAGTTAAGCGAGTTCTGCACCAAAGCGGGTGCAGAAGCCCAAACGAGGAGCCCGCCAGGGCTCTGTGGTGCAGCTGTGCAAACAGCGCCGGGACAGCGGGCTCCTCGGTGGGAAGAAGCTCCTGCAGGGCGCTCCCRGCGCTGCCTCTGCTCCCGCGGCGGGAGCGGCCTCCCCGCTCGCCAAGGCCGGCTCCAAAGCAGAGCTCCCCCGCGCCTCCCGGAGCCCGCGCACGCGCGCAGCGCCCCCGCTCCGCCGCCAAACCCCGCTCCGATACCTGGCGCAGCGGCGGCTCCGCTCCGGGAGCTCCCGGAAACACAGGCCGCACTTGCCCCGCGCAGCGGCCAGCCCCGAGGAGCGGCCCCGGGCCCGCCGCGGCGCCGGGCGGCCCCTCGGAGGCGGCGGCCGCTGCGGAGCGGCCGTTACCGGCGGGCGGGACCCGGGTTGCCCCGGGCGACCGCGGGCCACGCGCCGGCGGAGCGAGGGGGAGGGGGAGGGGCAGCGGCCGCAGCGCTCTTCAGCGCGGGGCTCCGCCGCGCCGGGGTCACGTGGCCGGCGCCCCGGCCGGGAGAGGCCGCCCATTGGTAGACGCCGAGGTCTCCGAGGAGGCGGGGACGCGTAATCAGCTTGGTTACCCCTGGTTACCGCTAACGGGACGCCGCCCAGGACAAAATTTGTTAACACCAGCGGCGCGCGAAGGCGCGGAGCGCGAGCCTTCGGGAGGTGCGGCGGGAGGAGGCGGGCCCCCCGCTAGCCAATAGGAGCGGCGGCTCCCTCCACGGCCGCGGAGGGACAACCAATCAGTTGCCAGGAGCGCCTTTGGCGCGCCCGCCCCTTCACGCACCGCGCCTGCGGCAGCCGAAGCGCGAGCGGTGGGGAAGGCAGCGGTGCAGCCGTTAACGGTCGCCGCGGCCCGGCACGATGCCACTCCGCTCGTCGCCTCGCTCGCCCGCTGCCGCGGGGGCCTCCSCGCTTCACACTCGCTGCATCGCAATGCCCGGGGCGCCGCTGTCCCCGGGGCTGCCCCCGGGGCGTCTCGTCGGAGGCGCTGGCGCTGCGCGGGTCCCCGCTGACCGTGGCGGCAGCACTGCCGCCGAGGCGCGGCCCGGCGCTGGAGGGCGGCCCGGCCTGCCTCGCCCCCGCCCCGGCGCCCCTCCCTCCCGCCCGCCCCCGCCGCCCCGCACAGGAGCCGCCGCGCAGCCACGGCGCCCTGCCCGCTCCCGGCCCCGCGCCCGCCAGCGATGAGGCCCGGGGGCAGGCGCTGCCTGCCGCTGCTCGCCGGCCTCGCCGTGGCCGTCGCCCTCGCGGAGGCCGCGACCTGTGAGTGGGGAGCGCGAGCGGTGGCAGTGGGGGGCGCGAGCGGGGCCGCGGCAGCCGTTAGCGCCCCTCGCGCGCCCAACGGCCGCTCCGGGGTGAGGGGGGCGGCGAGCTGCCCGGAGGGTGCCGGCGGTCCGGGGCGGCCAGCGTGCCCTCCGGCTCGCGGGAGCCCCGTGCGCTCCATCGATCCCGCTTGGGGTGAYGGCCAGGGCGGAGCCGCTGATGGGAAAGAGGGTCTCCCCGCGGTGTCACTTAGGGGAAAAACRGCCGGGACGCAGGAGAGAGCCTCTACCGCCGAGTCCGGGCACATGGCCCCGGCGGCGCTGCTAGGTTCAGGCGTGTGAACACGGTCACGTAGGAACCGCTGCTTACCACACGCAAATGGGGACAAATCAAAGTGTAACTTTCATTTTAAGACCCAATTCTTTGCGCTGAGTACTGAGAGAAGCCGACGTGTACGTGGAACTAGCACAATTAGGGCGCAAAGAAAGTAAGCCTGTTTCTGACCTGCTTTACTAATGATTAAACCGGCAGAGGAAAACACTAATGTTTACCATCCAGGCTTTTGTTTGAATGATAGGGATTCTCACTATGAAGGTGACAGCATGGAAAGATGAAAGTTCATCGTTTCTGAACAGGCCCTAAAAATAAATCTCCCTCATGTCTTTTTATTCCTGTTTTTATTACATTTCCTGTTTTGTTTTCCCCACTGCACACAGTGTCAGTTTTCTTCTTTTATAAACAGTGGAAAGTTTTGTAAACCTTCTCTGTGGTCAGCTTTCAATTTATGCTTGGAAACACGAAAATGGGCAAACACTTGGAGTTTTATTACATCTAAAAGACCTGCTCATGTTGTTGCATTTTGTATACATAGCTGATCATAATTAAACTGAACTTATTTTTCTCTGTAATGACTTGCAGCTGTGAGCATTACAGAATTATTTACAAGCTTCATAAATGTTCCTGTTGCCAGTTTAAGTCTGTTGTGTTTTAAGTTCATGGAAAGTCTTCTAATATGTAAGAAAAGTAAATAAAATGTTTAGTAACTATGCAGAAACGAAATAACGGTTCTCCTTTTCCTTAAAAAGTCTTTTAAAATTAAGTTTGCAGTAGTAAGCACTGAGATGTAAATCTTGAAAGCTTCAGCTTCTCTTAAGCATATCTATTATCATGAAGTTTTTGGAATCTGCACATTTGTCTGACAGTTCTGTAATCTGTAGCCATATCCATGTAAATGATGCTTGGGCCCTGCAGACAGACTAACCACTGTCTAGACCTCAGTGTGAAGTCTGTATCCCCATAGGTCCCATTTCAGCACCAGATTGTTAGTCTGTAAGTTTCCGAGGGCAAGAGCTATCTTTGTTAATTGTTATTCATGATTAGAGAGCAGGACAAACAGTTAAATAAAAGTCTTATCAGAATTGTGGTCAAGTACTCAAAAAACATTTGAGTAAATAATACTTTCTATGCAAAAGTCCTGAAGTCTTTGCAATAAAAATATCAAGGTTGTGCTGAGTTACATAAGAGATTTTATTTAAATCCAAAAGTCACAAGGAAATCAATTTAAAAGCAGGCTGCTGTGAGGCAGGTGCATAGACCTTAGTGCTATTAACTGTTACATTGTGCTCAAAAGAGATCTGACATCTCCAGAAACTCTATTTCACTTAACAGGGTTTTTCTTACAACTATGAGAAAAAAAATGTGAAGAATTGGAATGATGCAGTTAAATGTCAAAACATAGGCTAATTTAAAGTCAACTGTGAATCAGGCCTTATCTTCCCCAGAGAGCCTCTGCTGATAGCACAGCAGGGTAAACAAAACCAGCAGAAGAGGTTTTTCTGCTTGCACATGTATTCTCCCTTTCACATACAGTGACATACAGTGATGAGAGCTCTTTTCTTTTGTCAGCATAATCATATCCATTCAGATTTTACAAATCCTCAGTTGTTCTAGCAGGACTTTCTATTGCAGTCCTCAGTTTAGCCTTGCTTTACACAATTTTATTTTTTTTTATTCTGTTATTTTAGAACAGATGGACTTTCAGCATCATTCTTACGAGTCTGCTTTTATTCAATGACAAATACATGACACTTTATTCCCACTTCAGTCTTCAGTAAGGCCAGCTGGTAGATCTATATGCATATATATAAGAGGAAACGAACAGCAGAAGACTAGACTGCTGAAATGCTTAATTCTTCTTCACCTTTCTATTTTTGCATTTCTGAGCAACTTCCTGGTTGCTCTCCAAGGTCAAGTAGAGCTTCAGGATGTTAGTGGGGCCATCAAACATTCCTGAAGGTCTTGCCTGTTGTCACACCACAAAGATCAGTTTTACTGAAATGGAAGTTAGTAAAGCAACAAGCTTATTCCACATCAAATAAATTCAACAGACTGACTGACACAGAAAAGTTTCTTCAGGTTTCCAATATGGCAACACTTGTGAGTGCCTCAGGTGTATTCCATTTAATTTAATAAWGTGTTTTAGGACTGTGTGTAGGGCAAGATGGTTTCAGCTATATGTGTCACATGAGACCTAGCCAGGCTTGAAGTTTTGGGCCTCTTTAGCTGTTCTTTCTGATAAGCACTGTAAGTTTTTATARTGCATGGACAGCAGGAGGCTATACTTAACTGCTAGCGTATCCCACAAAGGTGTTGCAGGTTTGAGGCGTTGCGTATTCACAACCAAGACAGAATTGACCTGATCGTCCTCTTCATAGCCTAGTGCTGAGTATTTCTGGGCACCGTATCTGCTTTGCAGGTGCCCTGACGCCCTCCAACAGTCAAGCTCAGCTGAGGGTTTCATTTGTAGGAATGCTGATACAGGGAGGCCAGGTGTACGAGCACAATGTTCTTGTGCTAGCAGATGTCAGCTGTGCACCTTAACCCATTGAATTGGACCRTTTCCAGCTGTGCTCCATCCATTCYTCTCCTGATCACAAGGAATGACCAAAAATAAAACCAATGAGGCAATGACCCCTCAGTCAGATTTAGTTGCTATTCCTGTAGTATTGTGTGCTGCACATCTTAAGGGCCAAGGGAAAAGAATGTAAAGGTAAATACAAACCTTTTGGTTTTTATATAATTTTCCCAGCTCACTTATTTGCACATCATTTGCCTAAAAATGAATAAAATAGCAGTGAGATACATAAAAAGGAAATAATGACACACAACACAGTCTAAATAAGTTAAAAATTAGGATTCTACTTTGTAAAATAAATGCATTTTTATGTTATACATCCTGATGATTCTCAGGAAAAAATCTTGCCTTTTATTTTGTCTTAAACTTCACAATTCTGAAGCAAATTACAGTTACGATACTTATGAATATCAGTTTGATTTTATAAGGCACATTTTTGGTCTCAGTAATAGAGATGGGCATATTAACTTCTGGGTAATTGAAGTAGGTAATTCAAAAGAAGTTTCACAATATTTCCCCACCTGTCAGTCACATACCTCAATTTATAATGTCCATTGCTCAAAAAAAAACAACCACTTTTTTTTTCCTGAATATGACATTTAAACTATATTTCAGGCGTAGTGCTACATAAGCTTCTTAATCCCATCAGATCTTTCTGGTCAGGAACAGTTAGTACAAATACAGAAAGCAGAATCCTGGAATGTTCTCCTTCTTACCCACACTTTTCTAAAAATATAACAAACAGCCACTCCATGACCACATTTAATTAAGGTTTTGTGTTGTGTGCTCACATTTGGTCAGTGTTTATGGCATTTTTCAGCTGTTGAAAATAAACAAGTCCTTTGTTTCTACAAAGTTTTATCACAGCAGTATGCCTCAGAGTTCCTGTCGAGGAAACGTCGAGCAAATTCTTTTATGGAAGAAAGCAAGAAGGGAAATTTAGAGAGAGAATGCATTGAAGAATTATGCAATAAGGAAGAAGCCAGGGAAATCTTCGAAAATAATCCTGAAACTGTAAGTATCTGGTGAATATCTGCGAGGGAGACAATAGTTTTTGCTTAGTACACAGAAAGCACTGAAAAGCTTAAAGAAAACGCAGAGCAAAAACTAGTGTGGTACTTTTTTTTTATATACAACCTCAACCTACAATTAATAATGAAGACTATATAAGAACAGAGGACAGGTAAGTAGGTATTATTTCAAAATATGGATCACCAATTTTAGACCCCAGTTGCCTGCAAGCATTCCATATGGAGGAAGCCTTTTGGCTTCGTTTAAAATTGTACACAGAAGATGCACGGCAATGCAGCCCTTTTAATGAAGGGATTGGGCATTTTATTATAAGCTTTTTTTCCTAGTAGTGAGGATACTACTCAGTTCATTCCCACTGCACATTATTTAATATTAGGCAGATTAGATTCAGCTTTGTATTATAAAATAGATATTACTTTATAAAAAGATATTACTTCAAAATATATGCGGTTAAAATGAAGTTTTGTTTTGCAAGCTATGTATCAATTCATTTTCACTGAGGGGGAAATTAAATTGAATGAGGACCTTAATCTTCCCTTCACTAGTAACTTGGAGGCTTGTGTTTAACAACTAACTGCTCTCTTAACTAAAATAGTGCTAATATAGACATCTTGATCCATAATTCATGATTTTTTTTTCTGTTATATGTTTTAAAATGTATTAAGTGATGTATTTTGCTATAACTCTACTTGAAACCAAATCAGGTTTCTCTTACTGTTTGTTTATTTTTCTTTTCTTTCTGCAGGAGTATTTTTATCCCAAGTATTTAAGTAAGTATAAAAAAAAACTTGACCAATCCTGGTATATCATTCACTGCTGTTATTTATAATACAAGCCATGTTGTTCTAGCCATAGAGCTTCAATGATTTCCTAGCTGATTATAGTGCTTAGCAGCTCCTAGGCAGTTCTGTGTGCTTAGATCCCAGCAGACATATTCAGAAGGTGGTGGGTTTGTGATCAGCTGCCCTTAATAGGCCCAGACAGTTTTTCTTATTCAAGCTGTGAGAACAGACTCTTTGAAGATGCAGTGCAGAAGCTGTTGTAAGTTCAGTCTAAATGAGTATTTGTATCATAAGCAGATTGTGTGGGTTTGTGTTTGCAGGCTGCCTTGCCTCCCATCGAGCAGGGGTTTTCAGAGTTATTGCAAGTACTCCAGATTCTCCAGCAGACCTGAGGGCTTGTGTCAATGGTAAGCACTGCTACTGTGTACGTCACCTCCTGCACTCAGACCTAAGCATATGCACTTGCATGACTAGAAAGCAGTTCACACAGGCAGAAAAAGAAACAAATCTCTGTTTAACTCAGGCAAACACAATTACCCAGCACAGAAATTCATGCAGAATTAGATGAGATGCAGCACTTTCAGAATGAAAGTGTAGGTATTTTTATCTGTGCTCTGGAAAAGGAGCACAATTAATTGCAAAATGTGCCCATTTGTAAAGCTCTTTTAGAAGCATGGGAGAATTGCTGCCGCAGGCCACCAACATCCTCTACTGTGTTGTCTGGACCCTACTGGGGTTTTTAATAATTGTGCATGATACTATTCTGTCAGTTAAGGGAACAGACCTTCTGCTTAATTCTCTTCTGTACCACTCTTTGGCTCAAATTATAGCACTTCATGAAGTGGGTGATACTACCATCTGAAAAACACAATCAGCTAGAAGACAGAGTCATTGATTATAGACAAAACATGAAATCTGTGGTGGTGTTCAGACAGGAGTTTTTAAGCCAACATATTCATAACTCCAGTGTGATTAGTATCCTTACTGATAAATTCACAGGAAGACTTCCCCATATTTCCTACTTGTCACAGTGGAAACATTTCTTTACAGTTCTTAAAGCTTAACAGCTTGATTACATCGAAAGCGTTCTCAGTTAGCTTGAATGTACATACTTATCCCTAAGCAGCTGACCCTGTTTTTGTCATTAAAAGCAATTGAGAACAAAAAAGAAATCCTTAATAATTACACTGCACATAGTCATGGGTGAACATGTTTTCCAGATCACTTGGCCAACGTGCCTGCTGTCACAAACTAAAATGTACTCCCATTCATCTTCTCTTTCTCACTCTCATTAGAGGTCCTGAGAGGAAAGGTTCTGTGGATGTGCAGTCTTTCTGTATTACTAACCAGTTCCCAGCGAGAACAACTGATTTCCTTGATCCTCATTTTATTTCTGTTTTTCTCTTCACCTTATAAAGTCAAATTAAGAAAAACATTACTGTCATTTTCCAGTCACCAGGAAAAAGACAAAGTTAAAAGATTTTGAATAGAAACATTAAAGGGCTATAAGGCTCAAATATTCAAAAAAAAAAAAAAAAAAAGCAGAACATTTTAGGAAGAGAGTTATTGCTGAAAAATAAATAGGATTTTAATTTAATAATATGCAATTATTACTAGTATAGAATAGTATTTTTAAAATCTTGTTTTCACTGAGACTTTTTTGAGGATAGATGCCAACAAGTTTGAAAATTCTGGGATTTTTTTAAATTTCTTGACCCTGTTTATTTTTAAAATGAATGATTTCCTGAGAATAAACTGAATTATTTTTTATTAATCTTCTAAAGATGCAAAACTAAGCAAAAAATAACAATTCAACACAATTTAAAATAACTTCACTAATTTGACATTTGTTCAAATGATGCATTTCAGATTACAAACACAGACAACAAATGATTTTAAAAATTTGAATATTTTGACTTTTTTACTCCATTTGGGGAAGAAAAGACTTTCTTGAACATTTCTAATTCAAGCAGCTAAGCTGCATCTTTGAATACTTAGACATGTGTATTACATAAGTTTGCATACTTATAAGTGCATTTGAAAACAAGCATTTAAAAATACCTGTATTTATATTTACGCATCTCACCATGACATTTTTCATGGATATCAACTACTCTGAGTGGCAGAGGATGCAGGGACCACAACATGTTCCTGGCCACCTACCCTCGCATTGTAGGCTGAGCAATCTTCTTAGGTTCAGCCTTTGCCACAGAGGGATCTCAAAGGGCATCGCTGGTCATGGACCAAAAGAAGGCAGCCCGGCTGGGAAAAGAGGAACACCAGCCCTCCCTGGAACAGATGGCTGCTGTGTTATGTCCCTTCTGTGGCACACTAATTCATCTCTAAACATAAGCTCTTTGGCTATCGTGTACTATCCAGTCATTCTTATCTTCCTCCTCTGATCTATTTCACTGGTTCACCAGTTTTTATCGAGTGGATTCCCCAGTTCTCTCACCTTTTACGCACTGAATTCCTACCACCTACTCCTATTGAGCACTGCCAATCCAACACATTGTCTTTTCAGATCACTGTTTCCTAAGTCCTCAGTGTCTTTTGCTCAGAAAGATTTCCACTCTTTTTTGCCCAGTTGTACACTCTGACAGCCAGCTTATACTTTCTATCATTTACGTAAGGCTTTGCTTACACCAAGCTTAGTACAGATGCTGGTTCTTGATCCTATAAAAGCTATGAAGAAGCAAGAAAGAGGAAAAAGTTCAGGCCCTTCCAGGACTGACATTTGGTAATTACTGTGAATTAACCATACCTCTAACCTTTTTCCTTTTATTTCTTCTGTTCCTATCCATCTTCACCTGTAACTGGAGTCCTTTGGTTTGCAAAATGAATATTACACATTATGCAGCTGCTATCATAGAGATGAGGTGGACCTCTTGAGCTTGGCTAGCCTCTGCAGTTTTGGATTTACTTGCAGCAGAATTTTAATTAGAACTAGATTTTCTCAGCAAATATATTAACAGATTTTGTTAGATTTTCTTTGTCACAAAAGTCTCAAACTGTTATTCTGTGGGCCCCAGTTCTTTTTAACACAATTCAAAAAAAAAAAAAGGAATCTAGTCGTACCTTATGTACAGAAACACTGGAAGTTTGGGTCTCTAGTTACACTGGTCTTTCATTTCACTTAATTCGAACTTCAGAAAATCCTTCCTCTATTTCAGTCCACTCTGTTCTGTCAGGACACTACCTTTTATAAGGTACGTCTCAAAATGACGTTTTAGAGTTTTACAAGGATGCAAGTCTAAAGCAGAAACAATATATTTGTAATTATCAGAGGCCTGCAGAAAAAAAAATCCATAAACCTACCAGAAAACTCTAGAAGAGTAAATAGAACAATACCTTACACAGCATGCTGACATAAGCTTATGAAAATGGTGCAAGAAATAAAGACACCTAGATATTTTGAGCAGAGCAAAAAAYGTGTATTGTGTTCTCTGCCACAAAGCTGTTTTGAGACAGTATTGAACACTGAGGTACCTATCCAGTCAGGCCACTGAATCTGTGAAGCTGTGGCAAGCCAAGGCACAAGAAAAAGTAAAAGRAGTCCTTAAGGTATAATTAAGTATCAAGMGTACATTTGACCACAGTTTTCAGAGGATTAGCATGGTTTATTGAGTCATTTGTTATGTGGTTTTGTGGTTGTTTTCTCTTTGCCAAAGAAAAAGTACTAGTGTTGGTGATAATTGTCCCTGGATTAGCGCTTGATCTTATGTATTAAATTCTTTTCTTTCTTACTAAAAGTTCCTGGGGGGGATAAAGAGAGTAAGCTGACTACTGAGGAAAAATTACCGAAATAACAAATATTTCTAATGTTTTTCCTCCGACAGAAATTTCCAACCAGTGCAGCCCTTTACCGTGCCACAGAGATGGATATAAGGACTGCATAGATGGACAGGCCAAATATACATGTGTCTGTAAACCAGGATGGCAAGGAGAGAGATGTGAAGAAGGTAGAGTCTCTACTGTCATTGTGATGATAGCTCTCAGGAGCACAACTTAGTTTAAGAATACCTACCCCCATGTAGTCGGACAATGAATCTTTAAGCAAAGGTCTTTATTTTGTTTTCCTTCTAGATATAAATGAATGCGAGAACATAAATGGAGGTTGTAGCCAGCGCTGCTCTAATTTACCTGGAAGCTACCGCTGCTTATGTGAAGATGGTTACTTCATGCATTCAAATAAAAAAGATTGCAGAGGTAGGAAGTGTGACTTAAAGAGATCATTGTTACATGAAAATAAAATATCTGTAGACTAGAAAGGAAAGACTTTATTCTGGTAGTTCTGTAACTGCTCTAAGTCAACAGCAGCTGATGTGGCTTCTGAAAGAAGCAGTCCTGCTCCAAACCTGACTACTTGTCACATCTCTTGCCTTACTTACATCACCACAAGCAATTGTGTAATTATGTAGTGAACCAGATCAAGGAACTGCAATAGGGTAAAGCCAACCTGGCGCTAGGGAAAGGCTAGGTACTAGATTCTGCTTTATTACACACCTCTGTGTGTAAAGCTGCACAAATGTAGGTTCATTAACTACTTACCAAAATGTATTTTGTTTCAGTCACTAACCAGTTTCACATACATTTTAAGCAGGCTGAAACAAGAATCTAGATTGATGGGACCAGCTAACATATAGAAATCTTGCTTGGCAAATGGTGGAGTAACCTAAATCTTAATTTACAATACCCTTCTTTGAGAGGTTTGAGAGTTCATTGGAGAAGAAACTGTTCATAAAGCTGAATTGTCTTGAATTCATGAAACACGACATTTTTTCTTACAGCAGTGCCTATTATTATCGACCATGACCTCTCTGCTTCCTTCTATTTCAGATAAAGACTAGGTACAATGACATAATCAGCAATTCTTCCTGCAGAGTTAGCAACCTCACTTCATTTTAACATCATGTATTTCCCTAGTGAACTATGCCAGCAATTTTTGGGTAATGCCAAGTTACTAAAAACTAAATGTTGAGAATATCATTCACTGTTTCATTCACAAAAGTATATCTACTAAAAGAAGCATAGTCTCCAAAGAAATTCCAGAATGGAAGATTGCTGTTTTGTCACAAAGGACAGGTAGATAAGAAGAACCAGCTAACTGATAGATCTCAAAAAATATTTCCCAGTGAGGTGATTATTTAATAAGGAYATTTCTATTGGAGCTTTACAAATATTAATGTTAAGGCTAGATCTGTTCACTGTTTTCACTAGTAATATAAACAAAAATGTGAGTACTGATCATTCAAAGACTGACAAATTGTAAGTTAGAGGAAAGAGAAAAGCAGCCGAAGTGCAGTTTAGTTACTGAATTACATCCAAGCACAAAATTAGGCATCCAGGAAACTGTCATGCACACCAGAATTGTAGAAAAGTGGACAGCTTTGACTCCAAAACAGGTTTTGTGCATCCAAGCAAGCAAGTAGCAGCCCTGTGCTCCCAGTGCAGTACTGCTTCCAGAGTTAGCACAAAACCATGGAGAAAATGAAAATGGTCTTTGCAAGTACAAGTAGCAACTGCAGTATTATCCAGAAACTGATACTCTTCTGTCTACAAGACTTTTAATAAAATATACTGCATGCAGTTGTAGAATCTACATTTTGAAAATGACACAAATATTGGGAAAAAAACCCACAGAAGACAGATACTAAAATGATTTGAATGATGGAGGGGACAGTGAGAGGCTTGAGCACCTGTCAACAGAGACAATTAAAGACTGTGAGATGAATGGATCATAGCATGCAGGAATCTCTGATAGTATTACCACTTTTTTTCTGAGTATCCTGTCTTTTTTTTTTTTTTTTTCCAAGATATCATTTCATTAAGAAGTCTGGCATAGTTTGTAGGAAATCTCTCGACTGCATTTTTCTTTTGCGTCCTTAGAGGCAATGTGTTTTCCTGTTATCCACAAAACACACAAGATAATGCAAAAGGGAGGCAAGGCAGAGAATTCCCTTTTCAGTGAGGGGAATCTAAAATGCCTTTGGAGTCCTTTGGAATTCTTTACTACTGTAGTAAATTCTGTTAAACTTGTAAGCATGTTAAACGTAGCAAGAAAGATGTCATTTGGCAGCCTTCTTCACACACTCTTGTTCCCTGCCTGAGTTCTCATGATCTTGGATTGGGGTCAGGATAGAGAGTTATGCAAGACAGCAGCTTGTTTTTCATAATTTGTTTGCATTTCTAGATATAAATGAATGTGCCCTACGTCCAAACATCTGTGGGACAGCCATCTGTAAGAACACCCAGGGGAAATATGAATGTGAATGTGCAGAAGGCTACACATATAACTCAACTTCCAAGAACTGTGAAGGTATGTCCCTTTGTTGTTGTTGCTTTCTGTTTTTTTAATCCACTGCAAACTCCAGCAAACTCCAGCATCTCTTGTGGTGGTGCAATTTCTTAATCTTCACGTTGTCTATTGCAATATGATTCAAGTGTTGGTTCTTTTAAGGGGTTGATCGAGCTGTACTACATATATAGCTGCCATGACCTGCCCGTAGATCTTGGAGAGTTAAGGTGGACTCCCCTGTGCCCTGCYGTGTAACAGATAGGTCTCAGTTCATGGGAGTTTTCCTGTCTAGCATCCATGCAGATGTCTTGCGTGTCTCAGACCTGCTAGCATGTTTCTTCCAGATAATCTGGAGCAATGTGTTGGGGATCTGAACACTACTAGAGTGTCTGGTATCCTATAGCAAATGTTGTTACACCCGTAAGGATGGGATATTTGATGTTCAACACTTTGATACAAGTCCCTAACTCAAGTGAGGTTCTAGCAAAGGCAAACGGTAGTGGTTATTCACCAATTCCAAATTAGGTAGCACAGCCAGGAAGTCTTAGAAAGACAAAACCATCAAGAAATGAAAGTCAAGCTTAACTTATTTGTCTTGGAAAAAAAAATGAAAATCTTCCAAAGCTTCACTTTATCCATCTGATAGTCTGCTTTGGTGTTTGTTTAGGCCACATGGCCAAGAGAGGCTCCATTTTTCTGTCCTTTGTAGGCCCTTACATTTCAAATACCTGAAAGAACTTTTCATGARGGTCAGTGAATCCCTTTTTAAATGACATTCAAGCACCTCATCTTCCTTGGGATATCCAATAACATTAGAAAATAGCAGTTTTAGAGTGAACAAACCTCTCTTCCAGGCTGGGAGTAGCAGCAAAAAGGCATATAAAAAAATTGTTACAAGAACCCCATATTTAAAATGAAAGTCATTTTTTCCTATCTAGAAAAACTGTTAAATAAGAAGCTGCAGCAAAAGAGTTTTTCCTCAAGAATATTGTTTTCTGAAGTGACAGTCTGGAAGAAGGAACCAAGATAAAGTTTTGTAACAGTTTTAACAGTTGAAAAATACCAATAGCTAGTGGTAATGTGCAATAAGTCATTCTCACAGATACAATTATAAAATATATTTTTTTTAATATTTGCAGAATTCTCCTGGAGTAGATTTTAATTTTCTCCACCAATTAAACTTTGTGTATGTTTAATACACACATSAGAAATTCAATTTCAGTTGGAGAAGAGACATATGAGCTCTTAGAGCTTTTCCATGGAAGGAAGTTTTCTATTTCCCCAGTTTAAGAAAAATATGTCTGTGACTGAGTTTTATTAAAATGCTACSTTTATGTTATTTCTCAAAAAGATTCAAAAGTAGCATCTTACTAGTTATGAATTCTCTGGCCCATGCCTTTTCGTTCAGTTTTCTGATGACAAAACTTCATACAGTGATAAAGATTACCTGTTSAGACATCAGCTGCTCTTTGTCCAGTTACAACATCCAGTCACTATAATAGTCACTGGCAGAATTTTGTGTCCCCTTTAAATGCACTGGAATGAGAGACGTTACAGTAAATAACCTATTTATGACTCCTCTCTCACTATTCCCTGCAGATATATGGGTGGCATCAAATCAAATTTAAGTATTACTTCTCTTCTGAAATTGGGATCCCAGAAGGTTGCCAGATGCAGACACTGAAAGCAATAAAGTCTTACCTTCTAGAAGGAAGATAATGCTGCTAAAGCTTTCAGACCTGGTTATAACCACATTAAGTGAGTCACCAAATCCTGTCTAAGGACAGGATTGTGCAGACAGACAGGTATTAGCTTTTCATTGTCATGTTACATGTGGGTGGCCAAATTCTATCACTCTTACTAGAAAAATGAAGTTTATGTCTGTTTGTGCACAACTGTGTCCACAATGGCAGATGCAATAGAGATGAAAAGAAAAGGTGGTTCTTTTTTTTTTTTTTTTTTTTTTTTTGTACCAGTTCTTAGGAGAAGGGCAGGGGAAGGACAGGAGTTCTTCATCCCCACTTCTGGGAGCCCCCATGAAGGGAAGATGCCTGTACAATCCAGTATTTGTTTCACAGAAATCATACCAGTTCAGATACAGAATCTGTTTATCTTATTCAGACCTTCCTTTCAATTTCAAACTCTAACAAAAAAAAAAAAGTAGTGGAAATGAGGGATATGCTTATTTTGCCAGAAAGGCTTAGTTTGTAGACAGTTCCTAGGAGGCAAACCAAGAAACCAAAACAAACCTGTGTTCTAAGGAATAACCTAAATATTTTGCATAAAAAAAAAAMCCCACACACAAATGAAAAAGTTAAACAGCACACAGTGYTATATTGCTATATTTCAGGTATTAATCCATACTAGCACGTAGTCTGAAAATTCAATCAGCCTTCGTCCTTCCCACGTGCACATTTAATATTCATAAAGCCCTGCTTATCCACATCCATGCTCTGGGGAAATCACTCTTTTCCTCAGTGGGAGATGCCCTAAGATGACCTGGGCATCGCAGATGCCCAGGGCAGTTCCCTTGTGGCTTATTTTACAGTATCTTTCCAACTCCAGGAAGGAAAATATTTTAGTCTACCACAGAAAGCAGCTGCATGAACCCAGCATGCTGCTCAGGATCATAGGCTTATGAGAGGAGCTTCTCCTGGCTCTTTTTTGTTTTGGCACTGACATTTAGAGAGACCTGTAAAACAGCACAATGCAAAGACGTTGCACACATCTTGAAAGAATAGCAGGATAATTATAGAGTATGTGATTAACACAACTCTGAAAAACCTGCTCCCCACCTCCCCATGCAAGTCAGCATGTTGATAGCCGCACAGTTAGCTGCACACAGTGAGGTCCTGCTTTTTGGACTGACTGGAGGCTCCAGGACATCTACAAAAGGAGACTTCTGTACCCATGCTGGAAGCTTGCCGGGCCCTCTGGTTCTGCAGTGCGCACTGGAGGGAGACTTTGCTTGTGAGCAGGAGGTTGGTATCAGTAATGGAAAGTGACACCCTGGCCCGACACAAGTCTGTGAGTAATTGGCTTAATGATAGAAACTCATCCGGCAAGCAGTGTGTGATAAGCTTTCATAACACCTTCGTAAGCCTCTGTTTATCTACAGGCTCTGTGCCCAAGGAATGTGCTTGAAATAATAATTCTCTTTTAGGGACCTCAGTACACAGATTTTCATTAGTGCTGCTGATTATCCTGTGCTTATAGTTTTGATTTTCATGTTCATGCACTGAAAGAGGTACAAGATCTTTCACAGAGAGCAGGGCCTCCTAAAAGSTCATACCCTGAGACTGGGCCTGGGCCTGGGCAGAAAGGTGCTGTGATATGATTTGACCCTTGGTGAATAACTACTGCAGTTCAGGGTCTTGCTCCCCATCAGAGCCTCTCTGCTGCTGTTCCTCTTAAGAGGTTTTGAGTGGGATGTTTCCTTTCACAGCACAGTGAGACAGGCTATTGCCTTTTTTTTTTTTTTTTTTTTTAATTCCCTCTCACATCTTCTGTTTCCTCAGACTTAAATGGGTTATCAGACCCCAAAATGATCATAATGGAAATGAAAGATATTTTTTCCCAACCAGGCAGAGTAAGAATTCTTCCCACCCAAAACAACATGAGTAGGCTACATTTTGGAATTTAGCATTGCCTCACTAGCAAGTTTGATAGTAGCTGAAAATAAAGGGAAAAGCAACCCCCCTCCCCCCAAAAAAAAGAAAATAGCAGCTGATGACATTGTGACAATGTTTGTAGCCTGTCTTAATTTTAAATGAACATCAGATTGCCAGTCAGCAGAAATTACTACAAAGTGTCTTTCACAGCAGAATCTCTTTCACCAAGCTGAGCTTGCAAGCTGTATCGGGGTTAGGCACCCCACAATGACCCACCACGACCCTGACAATTACTAAATTGAAAAGAGCCCGTTTGCCAAACCAGAGAGAAGGCCCCTAAGCATAAAAGSAGGAAATAGAGGGGTCAGTGAGTTACAAATGTGCATCAGCAAAATTTGTCCTAGCAGACAGAAATGCTGCCGCCAGACTAACTGTGAGCATTRTATCGCAGGCGTACAGGAAGAACTTGGGACAAGCTGCTGAAATAAACACTTAAATACAGCAGCTTGCCCTGGTGTCTTATTTCTCCTAGTACTACAGGTGGCAAATGCCGAAATGAATGAAATACCAATCAAGCTATCAGCAGAGGCTTGTTAATTTATACCTGCAGGAGTCTGTACAAGTATATGTGTATATATATACTTGCAGAGTATATAGGTACAATTTTAATCGGGAAGCTTTCGCAAATCTGAGCAAAGATAAAACTTTCAACACTGACCAACATTGTCCACTGAGGAGGCTGAGTTACTACAGACTATTCTGTTCTATTTTGTTGTAATAGAACAGCAAAAAACAAGTCTGCAAAACATTACGTCAAATCACCTTGAAGACACATTTATACTTCTATATTTCTGCATAAGCAATTTCCTTTACTCTGTTAGCTCAAATTTTGGATGCACATTTGACGGAATGGAGAGAAGCAGGAATATTTCATGYCATTTCTGCAGCTGTTTGCCAAGATAGCCAAAAACAAGCCAAAAAAACTGCAATCACTAACTTTCCACACATTTCCCAGGAAATCTCTTCCAGTCTATATATCAAAMCTTCCCACACATCAGGCACACATGCCAGGCAGTACTTGCTGGTTGAGTCCTAGAGGTCTCTGCTTGTCTTTATATCTAAACATCTCAGAGAATTCTCCTAGAACAGACTATGAAACAACTGGCAGAATGCTTGGTCGGCTCTTAGGTCACTGTTTTTAAAAGTACCATAACCACGTGCAGGGAACTCCCAAGGAGAGCCTTGTCACTGCTCCTGCTACACCCTTTCTGGGAAGAGGAACTATGTGTAGCAAAACAGAAGCCGGTAAGGTGACGGAGTTGGCTGTAGAACTAGAAAATGCCACGTTGAGTTCTGCACAGCTTGGACATATGCAGAGTTATCAGCAGTTTYCCATAGCAGAGTGCTTGAGACCTGAAATGCTTTCACCATGGAAGCAATCCTGCAAATACCCAACCATGCTAAGCTAGTTCAAAACTGCACTGAAACTCCTTCCACAAGGAAAAATGTTATATCCCAAACACTCTGTTACCTCCCAACAGCCCGCTGCAGGACCAGAGATGATTCTCAGCTTGCTAGAGCAGAGGTAGCCTGTCATTCCAGAGAAGTAACTTAGAACAGCCCATGGGAAGAGTGAGCATGGATGTTTGGTACTGTAAGACCAGCATAAAGGGAAATGCAACTTGCTGAGATCAGAAGGTAGAAAGTAAGGTGAGCAGAAAGAGGTGAGATGCAGGCCACAAGAAGGCTGCATTTGAATCCTGAAGCTTAACACGGCCAYGCAGCAGCAAAGCAGACCTAGCACTGCTAGCTGGACCTTGAGCAGAACCTAAGTGTTCTGGCTGTATTCACCACAGGAAGCAACTGTGCAGCTTTTTTAATCTGATTATAGTCACCAGGGAGGGAATGAAAGCCAGAGTACAGACCCTTTGCATTAGTGATTTATGGAAAAGACAAACAGGACATTTTAATAATAGGAAACTTTTCATACAAACATGAGGCTAGTTTCCTCAACCCAAAGGCTGTGAATGTGGTAGAGCCTACCAATTTAAACAGCATAAAAGCTGCTAACACTCTGAGCTTAAGTGATTTGCTCATGATCATTCACTGCAGAGATAGGAATTAGAACAGAATTCACAAACTCCAAATGTAGTATCCTATTTTAGAAGGAGATTATGCATACTCACTGCAAAGCAGCACTTTCTCCAGCAAGGTTTTTCATCTTTTTGAAAGGAAMAGAAAAGAAGTATTTTAATCCTAATAGAACTGACCGTATATAAAACAGATATTTAAAATGCAGGCATCAGTGCAAAATCATTTATACCCACTAGAAGGGTCATTCATTTCAAAGCAAACAGTTTCTTTAATCTGAGGCCCAAGATCACCCTCAGTAGAGTTTTTTACCCAGAAGAGATTTTGTTTGTTTCTGTGTAACAGCTACATTAGCTTTTTAAACAACCTTTCACTTCAAAATTAATGCATACAGCCTACAAAATGGAAAATGGTTTACCGTATTCACAAATATATTTTGTTTTTACTCAACTCTGGTCTTCACAGATTGATGCTGCCTGAAACTTAGTTTTTATAGGTTTATTGTATGTCATTTTAGAGTATAGTTTGCTCTCAGATCCTTTTGGCCTGATGTGAATAAAGCCTGTTTTGTCTACAGCTGCTTGCCAAATACACTCTTAATACTCCAAGTTTGCGTGACATCTCCAGGGGAAGGAAGAGATCTGTCCCAGATGTCATTTCTGCCATAAACAGTAGTGATTTATGGACGTTTCTTTTACTAATTCACTACCCTGTGGCTCATTTTTTTGCTGTCTCGCAAATCAGACCAATTTTCCCCAGATCTGCACACAAGGTGTTTATCTGATTACTAGGGCATACACCCAGGATGTAATTCTAGATCGTAGATCTTTAAATAGGRCATATCCATTTGCATTAGTTAGCTTAGCAATAGTCACCTATTGGATTCATCTTATACAGGACAACATATCTTGTCAATTGTTGCATTAATTTAATGATTTTGTTTTCGGTCTCTGCTGTGAATTCCCTGAATAAATCTCCTTCTGTACATTCCCATTCCTCCTAGATATTGATGAATGTGCTGAAAATATTTGTGCCCAACTTTGTGTAAACTCTCCAGGAAGTTATAGCTGCTATTGTGATGGCAAGAAAGGCTTCAAGCTTTCTAAGGACATGAAGAAYTGTGAGGTAAAACTGCACTGTGTAAAATTCCATGGGGAAAAGTACAAAGTTGGGTATGTCATTATGACAGGGTGCCTTGGATTAGGGAATATAGAAAACTATTCAAGAGCTGATTCACAGTTGCTGAGGAAGCACTCTAAGCTGTGGTTTGGCTCATGGAGCAAACCCAGTAGGGATTTGGATGCCACTCAGTTTGTGTGCGCTCACTTACAGGAATCCTGTCATGGGATGCCTGCCTTGGCCAGTCATTTATTCCCTCGCTGCTTCCAAAATAAAAGTCCCAGCCTTTTCCTATCAAAGTAGCATTTCCTGTCCAGACCTAGAACAGTCTGTTTATCCCTGTGTTACTAGGTTTTCCTTCAGCTGCAAAAAGGTTTTGCTCTTACTCAGTTTGAGCACTGCACTTCCTAGTTGCAGAAAATTTGCAACTCCAGAGAATCCCCGTGAAAGGATTTTCTTGTGAATGGCTCCCTATACTTCAAAAGGTTCAGGCAGGCTGAAACTTGTTATGCGAGATGAGTTCAGATAAATGCTGACAAACAAAAACAAAACAAAGAAAATCCCCTCACATATCTCTAACAGCATAATAAAATTAGGCTTGCACTGTAGAAACAACGTCTGGTTCTACACTGGTATATATTTATTAGATTTTTTCACTATTATTTAATAGCTGAACATTATTGGGGGTCAAGGCATTGGCTTATTCATGGAGTAGGAAGAACCTCTTCTTGCCTCTTACATACTATCTTGTAGTACTGCTGTTTCAAAAGTCAGTAAATGTGTATATGGAGGGTAGTTTGAGGCCTTTTACTTGGAAAAAAATAGCTTCAGCAGCTGAAAATGCATATGCAGTCTTGTACATTTAATGGAATTGCTGCATCATGAAAATTCAAGTCAGAGTTTGGGAATGTTAATCATTAAGAGCTTAAAAGACTAGCAGCAATCTAACATGTTTTGAAAATAACTCCCATTCTTGTTATCCTTCTGTAGAACTCACATACTGACATGATATAAAAGATTTACAGGGCTAACTTGAAATGAGAAAGGCTCTTAGACTCCTACCAGTAGTTCATGAGACATGTACCCTGAACCACATTCTGCAAGAGCCTTCTTGCCCCTTGCCTCTTGCCAGAGCCTATGCCAGAGCATATGCAAGATCCACGTGCAGAGCATAGTGCCTGGTACATAAGCAAGTCCAAGTACTTTGTTTAGTCTGACAAAACTACAGATAGAACATTGATTTTGCTCACAAAACACCAACAACAAAAAGGCAGCAGTGCTTAAGAGTGTACAGGAGCTGACTGAATTCAGTTTACTAAATGTTTTACCTGTTTAAACTTAAACCATATATAAAATATACATTCACTGTATGCACCGTGTTCACTGCTGAAATACAGAAGCTGTCTAAAGCTTCAGGTGCTTAACACCTGAAACAACGTAGGTGCCAAAATCCCTTCTAATTCAAACTGCAGTTGGCTGACAGTTCTTACTCACATCAGACTTTCATTGGAGCACTAGGATTAATGACAGTTTTACATGATTAATGGTAGGGGACCTTTAGTTGCCACAAACCCTTAGATCCTTTCCTTTACAGTGTTCTTATACATAATATTATACAGATCTTATGTTAATATACTTGAAGAGTTTCATCTGTCTACTAAGTTTGCAAAGTATGAGCTCAGTGTTATTCCAACAAGAAGCATATTGCTGATTGCACCGACATCCCTTCCCACAGTTCACATAAGAAGAGCAYACAAAGAACAGCCAGACTGAAATGTTTTCTATTAATTTACCTCTAAATCCACTTGTAATTGCTACTTTGTATTCCAGGTAACAATTCTAATAGTACTGCAGACTGTTCCCCTATGAATAATTGATATCACTATTAATAAAGGAAAGGTTATTTCTTACATTATTTAAATCTGCCCCAGCTTAATTTCCTTCTAACATCTGACTGGCTCTCTGTGCCACACAAATAARGAAACTTGCAGCACCCTAGCAGAAGGTGTTGTAGGCTCCCAAGGAAAGAAAATGGCCCGATGAAAGACTGCAGGTTCTAGTGTCATGATTCCAATACTAAATATATAAATACTATTGGAATCAGACAGAACTATGCTTCAACCTGAATTATCATTGAACAACCTAGCAATGTGGACACACCAGTCACACCAGTCCGCCCTACAGAATTTCCCAAATCATATCACTTTGTTTGTACTTGGGTATTCCTATTAAAAATAAATAAAGGCACTGCTCTGTCCCCTTCACTACCCAAAAAACATTGCTTTAGAAGAACCGACTAATAGCAGAGAACAGAAACTGTTTCATGAGATACCACAGTGCAGAGTTGACTGTTTTTTTCTTCTCCAACATTTTCAGCCTGTTCCAGTATGTATCCCACTGAACCTTGAAAAGAATTATGAACTGCTTTACCTGGCAGAACAATTTACAGGGATTCCTGTTCTGTACTTAAAGTTTAAATTGCCAAATGTCACCAGGTAAGCATTTGCTATTGATAAAAGTATGGATGGAAGTTAGAGGCATTTGTTTCCATTAATTCTCTCAGAGTGCAGAACGAGGGCTCTGCATGCATAAATCACACTGCCATCTCCCCGCTGGTTAAGCTACCTGTGTATGGAGGATGAATTAACTGGAGTTCCTGCATGTACCAGCACTTAGAGGAGGCTGGCGTCACTTGAAAGAGGGCAGACAAGAGTAATGAGTCTGGAGTCAGTTTAAAGCAGCTCTTATTGATCGGAGCCTGTCCTTGAGCCTGCTCATTAGTATAAACAGACGGCAGTTTTCCTGCGTTATAGAAGTGAAAGGTTTCCCCTAGGTAGCTCAGAGGCAGGTAGGAGGCAGTAGCAGATGCATCACAGCAAGGCCACAGCACTCAGCTCGGGCAGGCATGCTCTGCTGGCACCTGAACATGATCACATTGTTGGATAAAAGCACTGAAATCACCTAACCACTCAGTTACTGATGCAGTTGTGAGGAGAATTATGTGGATTGTGAGAAAGAGAATTCAAAGCGATCCAGGTGTAAATATTCCCCCAAAGGAAGACTGTCAATGGCACTGGGTATAATCTGGATTATATAAAGGCCCCACTGATGTGTGAAGAGAGCAGATTGGTGCTTCTTGTASTTCATGCAACTCTTCCTTTTGAAGTAAAGAGCTGAGGAGAATGAGACAATGATACAGAGACAGGAAGATATTTAGAATTTTCATCGTAGAAGTCTGTTATAGGAAAAAAAAAATGAGCTTGCATCTTGCTGCTGCACATGGGAATGGCTKAGGTTTGTATGTTGCTGCTTTGGGTAGAAGCAGTAACAAAGCTGAAACAAAGCCAGGTGCCAATCCCTCTCTGTTCTTTCCTYCAAATAACATTCCAAGGAAACAGAGAAAGAGCAGTACTGTGTCTGCAGGATTTCCTTTACAGCTGTCAGAAAGCCCCTCGTGGCAGTAACCTCTCTATTGCTCTTGAGCTTCCTCAYGGTGACAGCTGAAACATCCGTGATCTTTGCCTTGGCGACCAAGCAACTCCGGGGAACAAGAGGAGCAGCTGTTGAGCTGGTGATCCCCAGAGCCTCAGAGCCTCCCTAAGGGCATAAATATGGATAACTTCCTCCTCTGCTTTGAATCTGAGTTGGCCTGATATTAATGCTCTCCTGGAGCACCTTTCTGAGACTGTAATTATTTGAACTAACAGTCTCTAGGTAAACAAAGAATGTAAAAGACAATGACATCTAGTGGACAGAGAACAAGTCTGGGAGCAAAAGCAACCCAGCATCTCAGTTGCCCATCTGCTTGTCACCTTCAGCAAGTCCTGCTCTCTGTATGCTTGTATCCTTCATCTCTTTTATCTAGTCCAGAAGTTCTAAGAAACAAGGACTGATTCTTACTATACTGATAGCTTCTACTCTAGCTTGGACTGCAATATAAATAACTTTGGTACATATTTTGTGTGTGTATATATATATATATATATATGCATGTGCGTTATATATATATGTATATATATGTATATATATATATAACGCACATGCATATATATATATATATTACACACAAACATATATTATACACACACACACACTCATCCGGTTTCCAGCATCCAAGCAGCAAATCCTCCAGTTAGAGGATGGAGTCTGTAAAGACAATAGTAACCAAAATGAATTGCTCAGTTTCAGGACCTATATAATCTTTCTTCTGGGACTGCACATGGCAATTCCTTCCCATTGTACTAGAACACATCATAGATGATGTTTTTTTTTTTCCCCACACTGCATCTCTGCAGGATGCAATAGGAATGATACCACTATCTTCTTACTCTAGTGACAAGCAAGATCCCTGTCAATCAAAGCTTGTACCAGAAATCATCCAGTTCCCAAATCGAGGTTTTAATCAAAAGATTTTCCCTGAATTCACATGAACAAGACTTGCACTGGATTTTGCTTTTGATTAATAGCATGCAAAAATCCTAACTGCACAGATACACAGTTGCCAAGATTAACATCTATGAACTTTGCTCCCCTGTTTATAGGTTATTGCGCCAGGCTTCTCACTGTCTCATGTACCCTCTCTTATTATAAAAATTCTTTCTTCATAATTCAGATTTTCAGCAGAATTTGATTTCCGGACATATGATGCAGAAGGAGTTATATTATATGCAGAATCCCTTGACAACACAGCATGGATCTTACTTGCTCTTCGTGACGGGAAGATTGAAATTCAATTCAAGAATGAATTTGGAACAAAAGTCACCAGTGGAGGCAAAGCCATTAATGATGGACTGTGGCATATAGTAAGCAGTTTTCCTTCCTCCTTCCCTTCATTTAATACTTATGGGGAAGGTCTGTTCTGATACATAAAGTTGGGGGAAACTAAACAACTTTAAAGAGGTTTAAAATGATGCTCCCCCAATCCTATGTTTAAATTCAACCAAGAAATGTGCAGGGATACCTTACATCTTGAAAATTATGGCACCTGTTTAGCATTGCTAGAGATAACTACCACTATCTGGCAACAGAGGAATTATTCTTTGTAACTATAAAAAAAAAAAAGGCAGTAACAGAATATTTAAAAGTGTGATTGCATGAATAAGTGCAAAATTATGAGACACCTTCTCTAAAGGGCAAGGCTAACTTTTGCTGCACCAGAAACCCAGCTTGTTCTTCAAGCCTGCATGCTGCATCTTCCACTATGATGGAAGGCCTTGTTCAGTTCTAGAGTCTATGAACGACACCAGCTTGGTAGCAGCAGTCAGTATTAAAAACTTGAGTATTGCATACATGTCCTGCTACATTTCAGTACAACTTCCTTGAGATTAATAGCTTACTTTGGCAATGAACTCATTTTGTGTACCTCCCACTTGGAGATTCTGTGCTCAGTTCCAGCCCTGGCACAGGCTGCCCAGGGAGGCTGTGGAGTCTCCTTCTCTGGAGGTCTTCCAAACCCGCCTGGATGCCGCCCTGTGTCCCGTGCTCTGGGTGTCCCTGCTGGAGCAGGGGGGTTGGACTGCATGATCGCTAGAGGCCCCTTCCGACCTCAACCTTTCTGTGATTCTGTGAAAAGGGGAGGTTGAACSAGGAGATCGTTACCGCTTTAGCATCCTTTGGTATGGGCAATTGCCATGATTCAAACAAATATCGTGAAGCAGTGAATGCATTAAAACCCCTTAATGAGATATTGAGACATATATTGTGGGCTTCATAAAATGCATATGTAATTGGTGTTTTAAAATTTCAGGTTTTTGCACATGTGTGTATATATGTACTTATTTGTGTTTAATTCTAGATATCAGTAGAAGAACTAGAACACAGCATCAGTGTMAAAATAGCTAAAGAAGCAGTGATGAATATTAACAGCCCAGGAACTCTTTTTAAACAGTCACACGGTTTCTTGGAAACCAAGGTGTACATTGCAGGATTTCCTCGCAAAGTGGACAACAGTCTCATTAAGCAGGTAACTCAGAAATTAGAAGTAATGCTGATCAAGGCAATTCTGCTATTTGTAGTTTCATGTGGTGTTTGCTTAGTGGTCACAAAGAAAAGAAGAATGGCATAAAATCTATCTAGGAAATGCAGACAGGGTTATTAACCTCTGTTTTGAAAACAAATGCATAGTCTGCCCTTGCTTAGGTATCAGTTATATAAACACAATCCTACGGAGCTAATCCTTAGGTTCAGGATACTGTAGCCCATTTCTTAATACAGCTGTAAGAGTCCCTAGATCACTGCCACTTCTGGGAGAGCATTTCCTAGTGATTCATGTTTAGTGTTGGCCTTTACTTGGCCTGGAATAGATATGGAAATCACTGTGCAGGCACCTTGCATTTTTACCAGGTTCTTTAAAAGCCCAGGCTAGACAAGGCTCCTGATTCACTCAGTCTTTAGTCCCTCACTGCTGCAGCCAAGTTGCTGCAGCCATCTGCCTCGTGGCCCTGGGGGGTCCCCAAATGAATTGCCAGTCTTAGAGGGGTCACCCACCCCTTTCCCCCCACCCCCAAATAAAATAAAATAACCCCTGAGCAGCAGAAGCAACACTTCTTTTTAAAAACCCTTTTCCCCCATAAAAAAGAAAGCAGGAAAAATACAAAGACATACAATAGCCCTTTAACCTAATGGAATTCCAGCAGTTTGTTTGTACTTTTCTACAAGAAAAAGATGAAACATTGAGCAAAGGAGCAGTGCTAGTGATATTGCTTCAAATTCAAAGTTCAAGTTTTCTTTGTTTAGATCGGAACAGCTTTTCTATAGCTAACAGCCATCTATTATGTACAGACTAGTAACATCAAAATGGGAAAAAAATCATAAAATCGGGCATAGTTAAGCCAAGTAATAAGCTGATATGCAAAGTAACTCCTCCTTATTAACAGTGTTTTTAGAACACGTTTGAATACAAATACCCAGTGCTGTGACTCTTCTACAGATTAATCCTCGATTAGATGGGTGCATTCGTGCCTGGAACCTGATGAATCAGGGACATTCCGGCGTAAAAGAAGTCATTCAAGAAAAGCAAAGCAAACACTGCTTAGTCACCGTGGGGAGAGGGTCCTTCTACCCTGGCACYGGAATGGCAAAATTTCATTTAAACTACTGTAAGTATTTTTCTGTCTTGTTTGTTTTATGCTTTTAGTTGCAAAGAATCAACAGATTAAGCCAGGCTCCACTATCTCTAGTGGCAGTTTCAGCAAATTCTGTGAGAATTTTGTTTGAACACATATTCTGATCCCCATGATGTTGTCCCTTTAGTTTCTGAAGGGCTCTAGGCTGGGAAGGGTACTCTTAACTTGCAAAGGGTGGGCACAGTTGAATATCCACTTCCCAGGATCTAATTCTGCCTTGTATTTGTTGAGGCGAAGGCTATTGTATTACTGATTGAAAAAGATAACTAGMGATGGAGACAAGGCTTGCTGATCCTTCTGTTTATGCAATTCTACTTCCAAACACACACCCAAAACCTTTAGCTTGGAGGGCTTATCTCATTTCCTCCTGCACCTACACTTTTCTAACCTGACCTCCTACCCAAAACTGATTTTCTAACTAGAATCCCCTTCTGTAAACCTCAAAGCCCAAAACAGGATCTTTCTTGAGCATCATCCCAAGTCTTATGATCCCCAAATTCTCCTCTCATCCTATTCTACCCTTCAGACCCTCTCTGATCCCCAGTCCTATTCATTCCCAATCTTGCTATTCCTTGCCAGGTCTTTTGTTTAAATTGCTTAGGCCACTTCAGAGATTTCCTCAGCTTTTCCGGTTCTTTCTGGGTTTCCAGCCATCTCAGAGGTTTTTATGGCAATTTCCCCAGTTTTCCTCCTGTTTATGCACTGATACCACACCTCAGTGGGGACCACTGCCTGCCTTCACTGCTCTGCTTTCTGCTCCTCTACCTCCTCCTGCAGCAAATCTCAGTGTCTGCCTACACTTCCTGCTGCACCTCCCATAAACTGTTACAGCCCCATCTTCCCCCCATCTGACTTTCTGTAGGATTACAATTTCAAGTCACATTTTAGCATTTCTATTTCCTGAAGAACCTACCGGAAATCAACTGGATGTGATTTGAGGGCAAGAATATAAAGAAAAGACAGTGACAAGAAAGATGAGACAAATAGTCTTTTAAATAGTAACTTCTATACTGGTTTCACTCCAAGTCTCACAAGACAGCATGATGAAGTTATTTGTGCCACCTGCATATTTATTTTACTCACCTGTGTATTCCCATTTTAACAGTGGAATCGCTATGAGATGTCAGATGTGTGAGGACGGCCAATCTGCTGCTCAGTGGCAGTAATTTATGAGTAAATTTAAGTTTTTTTTTCAGGTTTCATATTAAATTGACCTGTAATTAATGTGGTACCTGCTCCACAWTAGAATGGAAAATGTAGGAGGGAAGAAGAGAGAAAAAAAAAAAAAAAGCCCAAAAACTGTTCAGGGAAAAGTGCAGAATTTATATGGGTTTGGTTTTGGTTTTCCTCTCCAATTTTAATTTAAGATTAGGCCTTTTAAGAGGAACTAGACGTCTAAAGTTCACTGTTTTTCCAGAGATTAGTACTAATTTTTCCACAGTGCAAACATTAAATACTAATTTTTAACGTCCTAACAATTTTTTCTTTGGCACATGGATTTATTAATTTCAATCTTTTCTTTCAAAACAGATAATCTTGACAGTGCTGAAGACTGGCTAATAAACGTGACCATGACTATCCGCCCGTCCGCAGACACCGGCGTCCTCTTGGCCTTGGTTGCTAGTGAGAGAGTGCCCCTGGCTTTGGCCATGGTGGACTCCAACTCTTCTGACTCACAGGTGACCTTGCACTTAGAGCAGCTCCGGGCCAGGCATCAACCCATACAAGTCAACATCTCTTCCATCTTTACCTCACTGAACAGGCTACTGCATTTGTTGAAAACAAACTAAAATAAATTACTTGCTCTTATGGTCGAGATAGGAAGCTGAATTAACATTTTGCAAAGTATTTGGATCAAATACTGTGACATGAAGAAAAGACAGTGCTATTAAAAACTGCTACAGCAGTGACCAAGCACTAAGCACTCTTGTACTTAGTACTATTCATTAGGTCATGTCTTTTCTTAATCTTTCAGTCCAAACACACAAAACAGGAAAGGGAATGTAATAGAACTAGAGATATAAATATATAGCAAAGACAACATRCTAGTTATGATTCATAGATAGTCCTTAAGTTTTGGAGTTCTTCCAAAGAAGCATATTTGGTTTGTCTTCAAAAGTGATGGATATACAGCACRTAGCAGCTTCTCTAACTTTTACAACTTAAAGTACTAGTCTTAAAAATGTAGATCTAACATTCCTCTTTTTTTCCCCTTACTTCCAAATTCAAAGTACATATGAACCAAATTAAAATGCATTAGAACTAAAATACACAGGAAGCACAYTGAATTTGTGTTAGAAGTTACATGTGACATCTTTCTCCCTTCCATTCTTCCATTTAGGAAATCATTGTGACCATTGAAAACATCACTGTCGCACGCCTGGAATCAAAGAAGTTATGCACACCTAAAAAAGTGCTGGTAGGACTTCTCGTAACCAAAGAGCAACTTGAACTGTCAGTAGATTCACACACAGACAGAAGCAGCAGCTCGGAGCAGCTGTCTGTCCTGCATGAAGCAATGCTGGGAAACGTCGTTACATACTTGGGTGGCCTGCCAGGTGAATTGCTTTTCTCTTCATTAAATCATTCATTTTTACAATTTTTCTTACTCAGACTTAACCAAGATAGAACCACAACTATATAATAAGAAAAATTTTTAATGTTTCTAGTTTTCATGCAGTGTTCTCAGCATTTGAAGGAATCTGCTTCTCAATAGCAGCATTACTGGGCCTTTTTAAAGACATGAGCAACTCTGCGGGTGTTTGAATTCAGAAATAATTGGGAAAGAGCCTTTTTTTTGAGCTGAGGAGAAATGAACAATGTGTATTTCTTTCATGCCCCCAACTGGCTCATTTTAGGAACTGCGTTAGCTCTGTAAGAGTCAAAACCAGGCAGCTCTAAGTAAATTTCTGCTTCTGTAAGAAGCAGAGATACCACAGGAGGAGTCAGGGATTATTTGGTTATAACAATTACACATTGGACAAGAGGCAATTGTTAATTCTTGAGACAGAAAAGTCTTGAAACAGAAAGTAACATTTTGTTCAAAACAACCTGCAAGGGATTCTGCCTTTAGATGCCAACAAGCATCTTTGTGCATCACGTTTAGCTACCAGCATGTTTAGCTTCAGGGAGAATCATGCAGAAAAATAATATTGTCACATTTGAGGATATTTCAAACCTCAAATCCTAAAACCTGTGATAGAACTTTTCCATATCCTCCATTAAAGAGAGTTTTAGGACRAATAAGTTGTAATTCCAAAGGGAATCCTAAGTTTGACCACCAGTTTTGATTTGACATCCATTCCACATGTGCACTGTAATCTCATCGCACTGCCCCAGGCATATTTAGTCTCTACTTCTTATCTGCAGTGTAATGTCTTCTGCAGAAGGCAAGGGCACATTGGAGGAGTAAGAGGGAGAAGTACAGATCCATTAGGAACAATCTCTAGGCATATCTTCCAAGGTAATGCACATGGGGGAAGCTGGAAATGTCATTCCATCCTCTAGAATTCCCTGGCAGAGCAGAAGCAAGATATCTTGGGCAGCCCTGCAGGTACCACAGCCTCTGTCTCTAGTGTTAGCTGCCTCTTCATCCGGCTGTGTAAACAGTAATTGACTCATTCTCTGCAAGGCTTAATACAGCTGTAATCAAGCATAGCACAATTTAAGCACACACAAAAAAAAAATCTCTCCTGTTTTTGCCTTTGAATGGATATGTAACATCTTGGAAAGCAGCTCACCAGGTAAGTTCAAATTCAGTGTATGAAGTGAGGAGAGCAGTAATGGAGAGGTACCATCAGACACTGTGACAGCAAAAGCATCCACTTTTTGTAATGTTTATTGAGCTAAATTTGATTTTAGTTTAGTTCAGTAGAAAAGCGAGAGGAAATCAGTGTCTACTTAGAGGTGAGCCAGAGGGTTAATTGAAACTTAATTAACTTAACTAGGATTTGGTTATTTCTTAGCACTCCTTCCCTTTGTGATATTTAGGTGCTTCTTCTAGGACTTTGCCAGCTAGAGAGTAATTTGAGCCGTAAGAGCTTAGACCTTGGCTAAAGTCACGCATTCCAACTAAATAAGCAGCAACTATTAATTAGCCCTTGTTGCACCATACAACTAAGTTCAACTTCCCAACTTCTCAACTTTACAAGGCRGCTTTGACTTGTAAATTAACAAAAAAGTTTTGTATCTGCCATCAGATACACTACACAKAGGTCAGTCTCTACACAGAGGTCTCAAAAATACAACATTATCCAAAATAACCTCCTCCCTAACAGTCTTTATTGCCAAAGGGGGAGCAGAAGGGAGAAGTAATATGGAAAGGCTATTTTAAAATCCCAGTGTGTAGCCACTATGGCACATTCATCCCAGTTCACCTCTGGAAAGCCTCTGGGGTTACTGAGCAACATGAAAGGAGAGGTAATGATCCCTATGCGGAGCTATAGCACTAAGAACTTTATGGTTCAAGKACACTTAAAATTGCATTTTGTGAAGACCAGAATGCCCCTTTTGATACATGTTTCTTGGAACTAGAAACATGTTAGGGTATTTATGTCGATTAATTCAGTACTTTCAGTGCCAGCTAAATGAGGCTTGCGCAGTCCTACAGCACTAGGGTGTTRACAGCAACAAAAAAATGGCAGAAGAGCACATRGCGCAGGACTATCTCTGCAGTGCCTCAGCTTACAGCAAACCAAAATCAGAAGGAAGCAGAATGCCATACCCCCAAGATACCAGGGATGATCATGGATATCTTCTAGGAGAAACAGAATGATTAAATCTGAAGGATACAGGATGATGTCAGCCTCTAGGCATCCTCATTTTGTTGCTGAAGGTACTTGGATTACCTTCCATCTACCCTGCAAGGACCTGGTCCTACCCTCAGAGCACTTAATATAYGGCCTGCTGGAAGCCAGCAAATCAGGGGGCTGATGCTGCCATAACCTAAACAATAACTAAATGAGCAACAGAAGTGAGTCTTCTGCAGAGAARTCGCTTGGAAGAATCAGTAAGGAAGCAATAAATTCTGCAGAGCTCCCAAGGGTCTCCTATCTGAGCACTCACAGCTTTGAATCCAGAGTAGTTTTCTGGCAAAAGCCAAGTGGCTCTTCCAGTGACCCCTACACCCGTAAACATCTGTTTGTAGGTCAGGAGAAGAACAGTAGACTCCAGGAAACACAGTACTGGTTCACTGTAGTTAATACAGGAAATATCGCTAAGGAAAAAAACCCTTGCATTTATTTACTTCTAATGCATATTTCATATTTTATCGACCTTCTCAACTTCCCTGACTTCAACTCAAACACTTTAACAAAAGGCAGAAGAACTTACAAAAGTTAAACCTTTCCTGCCAAATTGCTGTTTTCTCCCATGCATTACTGATGGATAGGGAATGGAGTGTTCCCTGCCCTTTTGCTCATCTGAAAAAGGCATAGGATGTTGCATGCCTCGGCCTAATAAATTGAATGTGTTTCTGTGCAGATGTTCCTCTGGGTGCCACATTAGTAACTGCTTTTTATAACGGCTGCATGGAGGTGAAGGTCAACAACAGACAGCTGGATCTGGATGAAGCCATTTTTAAACACAATGACATTAGATCTCACTCGTGCCCACTTGTTATGGAAGAACCATTCAATTCTTAATTTAACTTTTTTCCTTTCAGATATAATTTGTGTAATTAGTCTCTTGCCATAATGAAGCCTGTATTATTTGAATTCAAGATGTGCCAGGAAAGTAATCAACAGCATGTTTTTCCTCCCTTTGATGTACCATGGGGAAAAAAAATATCCCCTCTCCTTTCAGCAGTAAAGAGACATAATCAAGATCAAAATTCTGTAAAATGTTCTTTTATTCATGTCAGTGGTAAATCTTAAACCCAGATTTATCTTCTGTATTCATTCTACATCCTTGATATATTTAGTTTGGAGAGGCAGTKCAGAAAGTTCTGATTGGAACCAATTTTGCATCTTATTTTTGATATATCAGCACAAAGTTACACATTGCAAGTTTTGGCAGAGTATTTGAATCTAAACAAAACCATKCCTGTTAACTTTTCCAAACACAACATACATGGAAAAAATCTCTACAGGTTTAATATGTGCTTTAAGTAAAGAAACGCCACAACATTTCCAGCTAAATCTTTCTGTAGACATGTTTAATGTTTACAAATTTTAGTAGTATCAGGGAAGCAACTTAAATACAAGTTAGCTTTTTTTTTTTTT